CGCGACGACTCGGCCGCAAACTCGACGAGGTTGACCAGCGCCATTTGGTAGAGCCACCGGCCTCGGCGCTTCTCGGGCGAGTACTCGGGCACGACGGTGAGCGCCGGCACGGCAGCGTAGCTCGGCGGCTTGACGACGTCGGTGTTGCTCATGCGCTCGAGCTGGAGAATTGGAAAATGGCTCTGAAAAAAGGGTCGAAAATACCACAAAATGAATTTTCAGCGATCCACCGCGGGCCAGATCCGGAGCGACGACCATTGGATGATGGGCGTCGTCGGCGTGGGCGTGGGCTCCTCGGGATCCACCGCCTCAACTATGCAGCTGCTTGCATATCCCACGTATTTCCCACGTGAATCGAGTCCAAAGCAATCGATTTTTCACGTCCCGTACATTGCGCATACAAACAACAAGCTTAATCGTACAACCCATGCTGGTGCAGAGTATTCGGGCGATCTTGTTCCGGCCTTTCTATTTTTACTGCACGTTTTATTTGAACTCTGTATTTGTATAGAAGGTCGCATAAAATGCGTTGGCGTCGGAACGTGGCCGTGCAGGATCGCGTGACTAATTAAAGTGCTCGAGATTCGAATGCGTTCTGATTGGTCGAGAGCAAACGCGAAGCGGCAACTTGGTATCTGGCTGCGTGGCGACCGTGCCATCGCTCGGTGCCACGGGCGCGACGAGGCTACTCGTGCGCGACACTGATGAAGGACAGAAGAACGTCCTAGGAAGCCGTTCAGGGAAGCAGGCGCTTTGCATGGTCCTCCACGAGGTCGACGACTGCAGAAGTGATGCACCGGGCGATGAAGTTTGAGCTTTCAGAACCAGATTATACTGGTACGCCAGCCGCCGACCACAGAAACAGAAGGTGCTACATAAAAAGGAACGGGCAGCGAAACCCCTCGAATGAATTCTCGAAAAGTGCTCAAGTAGCCCGAAGTATTGGCCGCTCGTTTGATCTTTCGAGCGATTCTTGTGGTGGCTGTTCCTCGCCGAGCGGCCAAGCCCACGAACCAAACCACGTCCGGTGCTGTGAAGGACGTGGTGACGGGGATTGTGGGTGGATGGGTGGGGTTGAAGATGGTATGTATTATGTATTAGCTAATATATTTCGTAATATGGGGCGCCTCAGTTCTGACACTTGCAAAATAAAAGCTGCTGGCAAAGAACTACACACTAGCATACCAGTATTTTATACGCGCGCGTACTATTCTAAAGGCTACTCGTATTCCATGTGACTCCTCGAGGGCGATGTCGGGGGCGACAGCAGCAGCGCCGCATTCACTTCTCGTGTCACGGCCACTTCATAGAGCACCAAGAGCGCGGCGCCGACGAGGCACAGAGCGAGGCTGATCCAAAAGAGCGGTGTAAAGTTCGAAAAGAGCGCCGGCAGCATCGGCATGATGATGCGCGAGACCGAGGCCGCTGAGCCGAGGAGGCCCATCCACTTGCCTTGCTGGCGCGTGCCAAGGATCTTGGAGAAGGCCGAGACACAGACGGCGGTCGTAATGGGACTCCCAATGCTCCAGAGAAAGAAGACACCGACCCAAAGCTTCGTGTACGTCGGTGTCGCGTGCATCGCTAAAATCAAGTTGCCAAGACCGAGGCCGCCAAACCCAATCATAAGCAACTTGCTATCGGAGACGACATGGTGCCAGATTTCGATGGCTAGATACGTGAGCAGCCTAGACAACTGGATAGATAGATGTTGTACAAGGTGTCATTACCCGAGGAGACCGAGGTTAAACTGGAATTCGGACGCGGCGGCCACGACCGTGTTGTTTGCGTCGCCTGTGACGCGGACAAAGAGCGGCACGTTGATCGTCTCGTAGATCGAGAGCACACCGCGCGCAACAAAGTTGAGAAAAATAAAGATCCCGAGACCTGCAAAGACGAGCTTCTCCGAGAGATCCGTTGTCCAAGTAGCCAAAGACTGTGTCCGTGCCACGCTCGCGAGAGGCGCGTCACGCACATCAATCGTGTCGTCGTACGTGGCGGCCACAAGAACAATCGACGCAAGGTGGAGGCCTGCGAGAAGCAATCCTGGAGCTACCAATACAACGAGCGCCTCAGACACTGACGACGACAATGCTCGAACCTGTGAAAGGGTTGATGGGCAAGCCAAAAATATGGAATTCCACTGTCGTGAGCACTCCGCCGAGGCCGGGCGTGAGTGCATATCCAAAGTACACCGAGATCGCGAGGATTGTGAGGTACTTGAGCCGAACGTCAACGGTTGTCATAGCCGCGACGTTGGACCGACACACGCTGAGGTTACCGGAGCTCACGCCGACGAAGAAGCGGCTGATGATGAGCGCGCGCGTGCTGGGGACAGCGTAGACGAGGTTGCCGACGAGGCCAATGAGTGCCGACGCAATGTACACGGCGCGGAACGAGTACTTATCGCAGAGATAGCCAAAGACCGTCGATGAAATGAGGCGGCCGACGCTGTAGACGGAGGTCAAGAGCCCCATCTCGTAGAGGCCGCCGCCGAGCGACTGGCAGTAGAGGAAGAGCGTCGGCATGACGATACCCCGCGACGCTTCGGCGATGAAGATGACGAAGTTGATGAGCGCCATTTGACGGCGCCAGGAGCGCGCTCGCGCCGCGACTTCGTCTGAGCTGCGCTCGTCGTCGACCAGCGGCTCATACTTGTGAGACATGTTGCGATCTTGAGTCAAGCGTTGAAACGGAGGCAGGGACCGTAATTTTAGACGCCATTCACCGTCATGGATGGACACTCTCTTCCATACTCTTACCACTAGCTCAATAGAAGGTAGTACAAACATATAGCGCTAACTCAAGGGCTTCCAGTTAGTATGACAAAAGAAGTCCTTCTGGCATGATCTTTCTAGATTCCTCGTATCTCGAAACGCTGCTTATAGTATAGGACAAATGTTAAATGTTGCAAGTCGAACAGCCAAGAATGCTGTACCGCTGGAGCTATGACGAGAGAGGCGGACCGACCTACGTGGCAGCCTGGGATGCGATGGGCACAACCGCGGTGGCTCTTGGCGACATGGTTTTAGCTCGCTTCACGATCAGATCAAAGGCTACTAGTGCACTCATGGCGACCGTACAGAGCCCGACGTTGATGTAAAAGAGCGGCGCGAACGACGACGCAAAGAGCGCTGGCAGCATTGGCATGATGATGCGCGAAAGCGACGCAGCCGACCCGAGGAGGCCCATCCACTTGCCTTGTTGGCGCGTGCCGAGGATCTTGGACATGGCCGAGACACAGACGGCAGTCGTAATGGGACTGCCGACGCTCCAGAGGAAGAAGACACCGAGCCAGAGCTCCACATACGTCGGTGTCGTGCGAACAGCAAGGATCAAGTTGCCAATGCCCAAGGCAAGGAAGCCGCCGACGAGCCACGCGACGTCCGAGACGGCGTGGTGCCAGACTTCAATGGCGAAGTACGCGACGAGCCTACGACCATAGATTAGAGCCGTTGGAAACGTTGTCAGTACCCGAGAAGACCGAGGTTGAACTGAAACGCCGACGCGGCGGCAATCATCGTCGAATTCTTCTCGCCCGTTACTTGGGCGAACAGAGGTACGTTGGTGGTCTCGTAGATCGAGAGCACGCCGCGGGCGACGATGTTGAGGAAAATAAAGAGCACGACGCCGGTGTAAACAAGCGTGTCCGAGAGTTCGAACGACGCCGCGGTGGTCACAGTCGTGGTCTTGGGCTTGGCCTCGGGTGCGTCGTCGACGGAAATCGAATCGTCGTACAGGCAGATGATGAGCAGGAGCGAGATCGCACTGAGGATCGCCAAGAGGACACCCGGGACTAGACAACCCATGAGATATTCGTTGATAGCCGTGTGTAGTACTCGTGTAGGCATCGATGTGGAGGCCCGCAACCGTCAAGTCGACGCGTGAAAGGAGGCCGCCGATGCCTGGTGTGAGCGCGTAGCCAAGGTATACCATGAGTGCGAGCATGGTGAGGTACTTGAGGCGATGCTCCACGTGGGTCTTGGCAGCGACATCGGCTCTACAGACGCTGAGGTTGCCCGAGCTCACGCCGACAAGGAAGCGACTGAGTAGCAAAATTTGGGGGTGCGGCAGCAGATAGAGCGCGTTGCCAACGAGGCCGATGATTGACGACACGATGTACACGGCGCGGAATGAGTATCTGTCGCAAAGGTACCCAAAGACCGTCGATGAAATGAGGCGGCCGAGGCTAAAGACGGACGTGAGGAGGCCCATGAGGTAGAGGTCACCACCGAGCGACTGGCAGTAGAGAAACAGCGTCGGCATGACGATGCCCCGCGAGGCCTCGGCACCAAAGATAACAAAGCTAATGAGGCCGAGTTGTGTGTGCCATTGTCGGGTGCGTCGCTGGGTCGCACATTCGTCTCGGTTGTTGCCGTCGACCACGTCGAGGCTGGGAAGTTGCACGAAGGCTTGCATTTGTTAATCAATGGAGTGAGTGAGACGACCAACGAATGCGAATACATCGACGTTGGGCGGCCATTTCTGTCCAGCAACGCTGCAAGTAAAACGCTCCAACGGCAATCCTGGGGCAGTGTGTTTGCATCTCTCAAAGTCTATCGAATCGCATTCCCGAGCTCTCGGACGCGCCACCGAGCTGCAATTTCCTTGGACATCGCGCTGCTCTTCCGCGCCGAGCAAGCTAAGCTACTCGGGCGACTTGAAGCACAGCGGCAATTTGTTCGGCCGTGGCCGCGGATTTGCTTCAAGCGACAAAGCGCGTGTTTCATTGGCTCTTCATCGACCAATGGCATCAAAGTGGGGCTCGGACGCTGGCCCTCGGAAAGTGCAAAATGAGGGCTGTCGGTTGGATCGGAAGTCTCGCCATCACCCTTGGCACATGCGCGCTCATCGGACCCGCGCTCATGGCGTGGAAGCCGCCGGCGCGCTGCGTCCACGCCCCGTACCCGCTCGCGCCCGCGGACGGCGCCGACGACGGCTTTGTACGCACGGGCATCGTGGGCATGGACAACTTCCTCTGCATCTTTACGCACTTTTTTCTCGATTCGCAGGCGTCTCCGATCCCATCGCGCGTCGAGATGACCAACCATCTCCTCTCGAGCGCGCTCTTGGGCGTCGCTCTCTTCATGGGCCTCGAGTCGACGCGCCAGCGCGCGCGCGGTCCGTGCGCGTGGCCGGCGCTCACAGCGACCATGTACCAGCTCCTTGGGATCTCGGTCGTGCTGCCAATGATGTGGATCCCGTCGTTTCTCTACTCGTACCCGCAGTCACTCGGGAAGGCGGTGGCCGTGCCGCTGCCGGTGCACGAACTCACGCTCGGCGCGAGCCCGCTGCTCGTGACGATTGCGTTTGGCACGGCGGCGTTCGGTGCCATCTTCTTTGTCATGATCCACTCGACGGGCCTCGACTTTCAGCGCGCATTTGTGATCTTTCAGTTTTGGCCCAGCGTCTTCCCGCTTCTCTTGCCGCTGCTCCGCGTTCTCGTGTCCAACCCGTCGACCAAAGCGTCGGCGACAACGGTCTCGAGGGTCGCCAGCGGTCTCTACAGACTCTTTGCGCTGGCGCTGACGCTGCACCATTGGACGTTTCTCGTCGCGCCGTTGGTGCGTCGTGGGTCCGTTGCGCCGCTGCGTGACCTCTCTGCCTTCTTGCTCTCGATGCCGTTGGATGCAAACCAAGCGATTCCCTTGTGGTTCCTCCTCGTCGACGCGATCTCGCTCACAACGTCGATGGCGCTCCTCGTTGTCAGTGAGTCGAGCAGTGCGCACGGTCTTGGTCGTGCCGCACGCTCGCTGGTTCTTTTTATGCTGGCGACGATCGCGCTGGGGCCCGGCGCCGCCTTTAGCCTCTTTTGCGCGTCGCGCGAAGACGGGATTCGCGCCGAGCATTGGAATGCACCGAAGAAGTCGAAGCGTAGCTAGCTAAGAAGTGATCTCTTCGCAGCGACACCACTGACGCGTTATGAACCTTCATACAAATGACTGTCGCCACCACATACTGAATGAATTGCTGAGCAAACGTGGCACGGCGGGCGACAACTGGTCAATTGCGTGGCACCACCATCGCCGTTAGGCTCTATATAAAAGGACCGACTTTGCAGGCGTTGTGGCACCTGGCGCGTTTCGTGAGCTGCATTTAGACGCTTAGAGTGCAATGGGCTGCAACCTCTCTAAGAAGAAGCAGTCGCCCCGTACGATCCGGGTGAGTCCCAAGAAGCAGGCGACGCCCGTGGCCCCGCCAGTGATCGTGGACCCGCCGCCGCCCAAGCATGGCAACTCCTGCAACATGCCCTGTACGTGCATGAAGAGCTTCTTGGTCGCGGCCTCAAACTCGCATGTGGTAGTTGGCGCCGACCAAGGACCAATTGCGATCGGACGACTCCAAGCCGAGCCCAACGGAAAGAAAGCAGTCGTTGCCTTTGGCGCCGCCGACGCAAGAGGCTCCCACGACGAGTGCAACATCTTTTTCACGTGGGACGGAGGCGCGACTGCGGCCTTGACCTTGCGCGGCGTCAAATACAAGCCGGTGCAATTCCATTTCCATACACCAAGTACCCTTGCACCCTTGGAGTGGCGACCCAATACATTTCAAATAGGCGAACACACGATTGAGGGCGCGCAGTTCCCGCTTGAGCTCCATGTCGTGCACGTGGCGCCCAACGACCGCTGGGCTGTTGTCAGCTACGTCTACCAGTACGGCGAGACCGAAGATGCCTTTCTAAAACAGGTAGAGTTCGTGTGCGTGCCGACATTCACATGTGGTCTCTGGCAGGTCTGGCCAAGTCTGCCTCAGCTCTCGACCATCCAGGCAGCGACGGCGGTCGGGCGCATTGACGGAAGCGTCCTCGTGCAGCCCAAAGCAGGCTACTACCAGTACACGGGGGCGTCGGGCGACGGCGTCGAGTGGGTTGTCGCCCAGCGACCGCGGATAGCGACGCCGGGACAAGTCGCGTCGCTGTTTGGTGCGCTGCGTGCGTCGAATGCCCGGCCGACACAGCCGGTCACCGGTCGAACGGTCACCTTGTACGCCGCCTACATTCCAAGAAGGCTCGCCTCATGCGTCTTTCCTAGGCTCTGCTAGCTACGTGCCTTGAGCGCCCTTTCTCATTATCTATGGAGCACGACGACAAGTAGTCAGCAATCGTAATTGAATGACTTGGTATTATTCGTTGCATGGCGCGAGGTGGGGCGAGAATGCAGGCCCGTGGCCGGGCACGACCGCATCGGGGTGCCACGCCAGCACAAACGCACGGCTCGACTCGTGAAGCGTCGGCATTTCTGAGAGGTCGCGCCACCAGCTTTCATCGCCGTCGCACTCCCAGAGGTCGCCCACGATAGCAACGCGGCGCAACTCCTCAATGCGGCCATCCGCGTGTTCAAATGCAAAAGCACTCGACGCTTCGAGAAGTACCGAGACGCACGCGCCCGTGTGACCAGGCGTCGTCACCACGCGTAGCGGCGCTGTAGGCAGCTCGCGATGGGCAATCTTGCCGTCGGCAGCGACCGTCGCGAGGCAGCGGCCAATGGTTTGGTCCCGCGCCAGCACGCTTGCGGCCGCGTACTCGTGGCGTCGGTTGATGTCGCGGCCCACAATGTGCGTGGCCTCCGGGAAGAGGGCCAAGCACCCGACATGGTCCGAGTGGCCGTGCGAACAGACGACAAGTGCAATGTCGTCCAGCGTCATGTTGCGCGACACGAGTGACTGCGTGAGCTCCGCAGCCGCCCACGCGCCGCCCGTGTCCACGAGCACGTTGGTGCTACCAACTTGAACGAGCGTCACAGAACAGTCGCAGTCCCAGCTGCCCGACGCCAGCTCGCGCGCACGGCCCACGCGCAGTTGCACGACGCGCATGCTTGGCCTTTCTGCGTATTTTTATAAAAAGTGGCGTTTACATAAAATAATAGAATGTCGAGTGGGCGAAACTGCAGCTCGATCGATATGCGGAGGACCTCAAATACTCGCGCAAGCCAGCATCCTGCAGTACTGTGTATGGGGATCAAAGGTGCAAAGGAGCTACGGGTTATCACACCTTGTCGAGTTGGCCCGAAGCTCTTCGCTGTTCCTAACGTTCGCTGCTGACGTTGACACGTGCAAAGCACCGCCGCCATTGGCGCCTTTATCAGAGTAACGGCCATTCAAGCCCGTTTCCTGTTGTCGCCGGAGCAAAGCAGCTTCAAGTATGGGTGCGACCGTCTCAATTCCGCGTGCGACCCACGCGCCGCGTTCGAGGCACTCGTGCATATCGACGTTGACACCCCGCCCCGACCCCGCTGCCCCAAGTACGTACGCAAGCAAGGTGCCCTGCTAACACGGGGTAGCGACTGTTGAGAACCAAGCGAAATTGCACTTGCACCAGTCGCCGATTGCACTTCCGCAGCTTGAGCCGATCCCAAACACTGGTTGCCTCCAGCTACAGTACGGTGCAGGCCAAGCAAGGGTGTCGCACGACGGGCCCAATATCTTTATCGAGTGGTCGGGCGGCGACGCCTCGAGCTTGACGCTGGGTGATACGACCTACCGCCCAATTCAATTCCATTTTCACACGCCAAGTCAGCGCCGGACCGAGTCGTCACTCTCACAACTCCGATGCGATAGGCGAGCACACGATTTGCAACGTTCAGTTTCCGCTCGAGCTGCACATCGTCCACGCAGACACAAGCGGCGCGTTGGCCGTTCTCGGCTTTGCGTTTGTCTACGGCGATCAAGACAATACATTTCTGAACCTGGTCTGTCGACAAAAGAAGACAACTTGTCTTATTTGCACGATTTTGGAGTAGATCTGGGCGCACCTGCCCCACCTCGGGGCGAACCAAGGCGCCATTGACATTGGGATCATTGACGGCAGCAACCTCGTGCAGCCACAAGATGCGTTCTACCGCTATGCAGGGTCCCTCACGACACCGCCGTTTGTCGAGGGGGTCGAGTGGGTCATGTGCCAGCAGCCTCGTAGTGTGTCCCCGAAGCAAGTCGCTACGTTCTTCAACGCGATGCAGACAGCCAACTCGAGGCCACTGCAACCACTCAACGACCGCACGGTCGTGCTCTACGGCCCCACAACGTAGCTGTGGTATTGCATTTTACTACTGACGCGACGACACTTCGCCAAACTCGTAATGGCCCGTCTCCTGCGCATGGGCACTCGCTTCCATCTATACAAGATATTAGTCGATATTTTAACTTACACGATTATGCAAGTAGTACCTGGCCCTTGAAGGCGCGGCGGCAGACCATGCATTGAATCGTAAAGCCGCCGACGTCCGTGTACTGATGTGTCTACAAACCCCAGTCGAGGACGACAAGGCTCGGGATGTGGGTACCTGATGCGCTTCGACGGCAAGGACGCTGGCATTTTCAACCTAAACCACCACAAGTGTGGGTACGCGCGAAAGGGCAAACACAGACCTTGGCGAAATCGTTGATGGCAAAAAGGGTCTTGTCCTTGCTGCGGGCGTCCACTTCGGTGATGGCGTCGTAGTGAATCCCGTCGTAGAGGAGGAAGAGACGCTGCGTGAAGCCTTGGTCTTCGCCGTAGCAGAGCCGGGACATGCTGATGACGTCAAAGACAAGCATCTCGATGCGAAAGTGCATCGACAAGATCGAGAGCTCGATCTCGCCGCCCCACGACTTGCTGTCGAGGATCCACGCACAGTACTCGTCGACGGGTCGGCCCAGGAACGTTGTGTTGTACAGCGCGGGATTGCGCACAATGGCGTCCTGCGCGACTCGCTGAGGACCTCGTGGCGCGCGACGTAGCAACGTACCACAACGACCTGCCGCATTGCCTCGCCATTGCCAGTCGCACCCTTCCCGAGGCAAAACCTACCTCCGAGCTCTGAGGATCGCAGCACTTTGCAATAGTGAACGCACCCGATCGCGTTGAAGAGACAGCTATTGTCGCCAGCAATGACCTTGCGCTGAAACTTGGCCGTCGACGACGACGACGATGGAAGCGCGACGCCTTCCTTCAAGAGAATGGCCGAGCCAGACGTGATACCAACGCTTGTAATGAGCGCATCGTTGTCGCCAACGATGGGCTTGGGCGGAAATCCGGCCAGCACTAGACAAGGTATCGTGAGTGTTCGTAGCCGTCAGTGTCCACGACGAGGCGCATGTACACGTCTGCTGGTCTGGTGGCAGGCCCGTCTCTTGCGTCAGCCGCAGCTTGAGCTGCAGAAGCGTCGTGTCAAGGGCGAGGCCCATGAGGCGCAGCGAGCCGGCGGAGCAGTTGACCTTGATGTTCATCGCCGCAAATTCGGAAAGAAGCACCGCCATCCGGAATCCACACCTTGTTATCCGGAATAACGCCATCGCGTTAAACGTTGTCATCTTGAATAAACGCGAAATCAGAGTGCGCTAAACCCCGCTATAACCAAAGCTCCAGCACCCAATACGCTCGGCAACGCTCAGGCATATACCGTCGTCGCTTGGGTCCCACGCGAAGATGCGAAGGAGCTACGGATGCAGCTGCCTCGAGCGCATCCCGAGCGAGATGGAGAGGTGATCGGCGGCTGGGTATTATGGTGCATCGCATTCGATCTGTCCGCAGACTGGCACCAACGGGATTTAGTCTTGCCTCATGACGAGCCCGCACTGTACATACGTTGACCAAGTCGTCTGAGCTGTTTGAGCAGCCTTCGCTTGCCAGTGAACGAGAACGGCGCTGCTTTTCCCGCCTTGGCGTTTCAGTACCGGTAGTCAAACGCCAAGTGCGCCACAGCTTGCCCGAGCGTTCATTCCAACACGTCTGCTGCAGCTAGCTGTAGCAAGTCGTCTATCTACCGTCCAGCTTAGCCAGTATCTATATAGAGGGAGGTGATCAAGAGGTTGGGTATTCTTCTTTGTTTGGTGTTAAGGGTTGAGGGATGCGCCAGCGGGGACTCGTGTGGGATCCTGGCAGCAAATGTTAGTTTCTCAACTTGGAACACTGTTGAGCTTGGTCCGTGGAGCGTTCGTTCTGCCTTGCCTCGCCCAAAACGAAGATATATCGGCGCATCGTTTCCCAACTTTTGACGAATTATTTCGTGGAATTTCGTGGAATTGCACCAAGTCGCCAACTTTTGTGGCAAGCGCCATATTTGACAGCTGCGATCTTTCTTTTTATAAATAGAAACAAGATGCATGTTTCTTACTCCAGCATTTATTTGTCCGACAGGGATGGGCACGCCGAGCACGCAGCATGCAACGTACGCGGCCCTCTACCGCCTCAACGACCCGGTCTTCCTGCGGGACGTCCTCGACGACGACGTCGTCTTGCGCACCTACGACGGCTGCGTCCTGCATGGCGCGACTAACGTGCTCGCCTACCTCGTCGGCCCCGGCATGACCGAGTGGAGCCAGCTCGTGCACGCCGTCGACGCGATCGCAAGCGTTGCGGCGCGAGCCACCAAGACGCGCTACATTACCGAGGCCGGCTATGTCAAGGATGTGCTCTTTGAAGAGGTCATTACGTGGACTGACGACCTCCTCATTGCCTCGATCGTGCACACGTCGTCGCACAGCCACCGACCACGGGCCTTGTCACGCCGCTTGTCGGCGTCCGCCCACAGCGCGCAGCAGGTAGACGCATCTTTGTTGTAGCTACGTTGCATTTGTACTTCTAGGTCGTGTGCGAGAGCATCGACAGCCTCGTCGACACGTTCGTCTCGAGCTCGACCGCGTCATCGCGCCTGTCGTCCTCGAGCGCTTCGTCCTGCGTTACAACAGCGCCGTGCTGCTTTGAGATCTCGCACGCGTCCGTGACCGACCTCAGCGTCGTCAAGCCCCACCGCCCGATCCACGCATATTTGCTCATCAAGGAATTTCCCTCCGGAAGAGTGCTCCACCGCTCGATGGTCATGAAGCACCAGCGCGCGCCGCAGTGGCCGACACCGATCACCTTGGTGTGCTCGCCCAGCTTTCGGCGCCTCGACATTTCTGTCATCCATACATCCCTCGTGTACACCAAACACCTCGGCATGGTACGCCGTTGACGGCGATCGGCGCTTGGACAGTCGTCTCCGTGTAGGTCAGCATCGATGCGTCCGTGCTGCCGTCCAAGCCCCGAGAGCAATACGATTTCATGGGCTCGATCGTCGGCGACCCCAACAATGCCCCCGATCTCTACCTGACGTTTCACCGGTGCGGCTCCAAGCACGACGCGAGTGCATTGGCTGCACCACTCTACGCGCCCCACGACCTAGCGGCGCCGAGTATGATCTTGGCGGCGCCCGCCGCTGACGTGCCACCACCGACCATCTACTACCCGCCGCGAGGGGCGCCCGTCGACGCCGCCAAAGGCGAGCTCGTGTACCATATGCTGCAGGCCGTGAGTCTCTCGCTCTTGTGCGTCCTCGGTATGGTATTGATCGAGTACACAACGTTAAGCTCGTAAGCTATTTACACGCTTCTTTACAGCGGCGGCAGCGTGAACGGGCTCGTCGTTAGCTGCTGCAGTGGCATGAAGAGGCGGGCTTGGAGCTCCGGGAGCTTGAGCGACGCCCAGTCTTGCCACACCCACCCTAGCATTAGTTTCCATACTCGTATCCATCAACGACTTGTAGGAGGCTGCTACCTTCGCACTTGTCGGGCTCGGTGAGCTCGGGCACTTGCGTCGCCGTGATCGTCGCTTGCATGAAGATGGTAATGTAGTGTTTTTCTAGCCAAAAGAGATTGGCCCGTTGCAACAGTTCATTCATGGCCTACCGTCGGCCACCATGTAGTCGTTGGTCGTGTACGCCAGCGTGGGGTTGGCAATGTCTAGATCTAATAACACGCACATTTAGGCGACCATCGAGATATTGCATTCGCGTCGTACTCGTCTCTTCCTTCACTTCACGTATCGCGCACTCTTCCCAAGACTCGCCGAACTCAAGGTGGCCGCCTGGCGTCGCAAAGGTCATTCCTGCTGAAACAGCCGCTATGTGCATCGAACCTGGGAGTGCCAGCTTGCCGGCGCCGTGGGAGCCCTTGCGGACGCCAATCAAGACGCACCCGGGGTACTTGGGCGAGTAGATCAAGACGCCGACACCGACGCGGGGAACCATCGTCGACTTGCGCAGCTCGACAACTTCGTTCTGCGCGGCAAAGAGCCTAGGTACAGGTCACTTGCCCGTGTTCGAGCGATTGATTGCTTCATACCGCTCCGTGTCGAGGGCCTCCTGCTTCTCGAGGAACGTCATGATCTCGTCGAGGTGCGCAGTGCTCGCGACTTCGTCCATCTGGCTGAGCTGGCTGTCGAACACAAAGTCGTCGTTGCCGAGCGACGGCGCGCTAAAGTCTTGGCTCAGCGACGACGACCCAAACGACTCGAACGAGAGCTCGTCGGCGAGCGAGCCGCCGGCGAGCGCCATGTTTTCGTCTTGGCTCAACGTTGGCGCTTCGTTGATCGACTGCAGCGCCGACGGCTGCGACGAGAGCGACTGGCTCATGACCGCGCTCGTCGCCGTGCTGAGCTGCGACGAACACGCGAGCGACTCGTCCTTCTCCATGTACTTTTGGAGCAGCACCTTCATGCGCGCGTTCTCCCGCGCGAGGAGGATCATCTTGTTGCGGGCCTCCGCGAGCCGCGACTGGTACTGCCGCAGGTCCTCGTCTGCGTCCGCGAGCGTCCGACGCTTCTTGGAGTTGCCAGCCATGACTTGTTCGATTTGCGACTGCCATGCGCACGGCCCAACATCCGCAACTTCGACCACATGTCGCACTTTCGAACTTCGCACTTCCCTGGTCAGGCTCACGTCCAGGTCGCCGTTGCTGCGTGCATTGCGCGCGTCCACCGAGGCAGATAGCTTTGACACCAATAAGCCAACTATTAGTATACAAGCAAGATTTGCTTAGATACAGAGAGTTAGCTTAGTTGCCCGGCGACAGGACGCATACCGGTATGTACACGTCGGTGCCGACACCACGACGTCAGTGGCCTTCTTATCGGTGGCAACGCGGTCTGTCTTGTCGCCGCCAGGGCACACGATTGGTCCGTCGCCTCTCCTTGTGAGCCGTGAGATGACACCTCGCATGACAAGGTGCCATGGATGCGAGGACAGAGCGAGCGAGCTCTCCAACACCACCACCAACCGGCGAATCGCTAAAACGCTAGAGACAACATGCCATGCGAATAATGGCAGCACGCAAGCATCGTCATTGACGAGATATGTACATACACAGCCTCTACGCATCTACGCATCTACGTGTCGTTCTTGGCTTCGGCCTCGCGCGCCTTGGCCTCGGCGATGGCGTCGACCACGCCGCATGCTGCTTGTAGCCACATGAAGAGGGCGCTCACGACGGGGCCCGCAGGCTCGACGTCGTCGAGGCTGGTCTCGCCAAGGAGGTCTTTGGCCTCTTGCGTCACGCTCGGCCGCGCCTCGATCGCGTTAAATGCTTGGAACGCAGATGCAAACGTCTCGGGCTCGAGTGCCAAGCGGAGCTTGTCCCACGTCGGGAGCTTGGTTGCGGCGCTCAAATACGCGTCCTTGGGGGCATCCAAGACGAGGCGGAGGACCGCTGAAAGCGTCCGAAGCACGGGCAGCTTGAACGGTAGGAGGTACGCGGCGAGCTTCCCGATTTGCGTCAAGTACTTGGTGGCTACGATTGTCGCGAGCGCGTCGCACTTCATCGTGGCTTCCTGCAGCGCCTTGGCGTTCTCGTCTTCGATCGGCTCGAGGACCGACGCAATGCGGGCGTCGCTCGTCGAGACAGCGTCCCGGAGCTCATCGAGAGCTCCTTTTGCCTCCTTGTCCTCGGCGCGCTTCCACTCGACCTGCGCCGTGTACGCCCGCTTCTCGTACTGCTCAAACGCGTCAGCAAAGGCGGACGACCACTTGAGAAAGGCCTCAATGTTCTCCGGGGAAAACGGCCTCGCTTGGCCGATCGTGTCGACAGCGATGACGAGCCAGCTCTCGATTGTCGAGATCGAGTCGGACGAGAGCTGGACGATGTCGTCGTGGAGGTACATGTTGTATCTGAGGCCCCGAACAAGGTACGCGCCCATGCGCGGGATGCCAAAGTACTTGAGGCGCGGCTCGCGTATGACGTTCTCGACGTGGAGAAACGATGGAATCGCGGGTGGCGGGAGGTTGCCCTCTTCGTCTGGCGTCGCATTCGGGTCCTCGACTTCGCGGAGAATGTCGTAGGTGAAGCCTGTCTCTTCCGAGATGAACTTGCCGAGCACGCAGGTCGAGTTCTCGGACGAAGCAAACCATTCGATAAAGTTGGCGCCCTCGGCATCACTCACTTTGCGTCCGAGGTAGCACGCTTCGGCGCCGGTCGCTAAGAGGAGCTTGGAGATCACGAGCTTGCAGAGGATGTCGACGTCGTCCGTCTTTTGAAGCAGCTCTCGCGTGGTGCTTTCCGCAATGAGCGCTTCGTCGTGCGCGAGCTTGAGCTTCCGGAGCGACTCGTTGCGCTTGGCCTCCTCTTCTGCGAGCACCTGTGAGTCCGTCTTGCGGCGCACGGTCACGCTCGCCCGCTCGTGGCGCTTCTTCTCGTTCGCAACGTACTTGAGAAGGTACTTGCCGACGTACTCAATCGGATCCTCGGGCTGGTCGAGAGCGAGCTGCGCCAGCGCCTCGGCCAGCGGCGCGCCCACGGCCGTCTTGAGATACACAAAGTCGTACCCGTGCGCAGCCTCGGCCATGACGGAGCGTGGGTCGACCCTTGGCCCAAGATTCGGGTTTCGCCGTTGGTTTCAAACCACGGAAAAACTCGAAACGCGAAATCCTGCATTTTGAGAATCGTCGACCGTTCGAGTAGGAATTCGAAGCAGCTCTTGCACAGACTTACACTGCACCGACAAGCCTGTCCACCGAGCCGCACTCTTCGTCTAGAGCTATCCTACGAGGTGTTTTCGACTACATATACAGTAGCTCTTTCGTTGTGCAGCTGCGA